ATGCATGATACGTACCTAGGCTAGTTTTGGCCTTATTGCCTGCTATTTCATGAGTGAGTCATGTTATGTTCCATGCATGATTTATCCTCCCAAATAGACTAAATCTAGAGCTGGTCATTTCACGCGTGATAGTCTTTTGCTTCCACACGATTTTTGTTCACAAGTATTGGCTTTGGCATTCTACTACCCATTTCACATGTGAGAGGAAAGAAATTCCACATATGATTTGTCACACAGAACTAATGATGGTTTCTCATGTGCAAAACCATATAAGAGAGCAAATAGGTATCACATGAATTTTGGCACACAGAACTAAATGCTTATTTATAAGTGCAAAACCATGCGTGAGAGTTCATTGAGTTCATGTGTGATTTATTACATATACAATTCTGGAACAAGTCAAGTGCAATTTCATGCGTGATGACAAGTTGTTCACATGCAAGATTTGTCACACAAAATGATTTACACATTCATATTTGTTATCTATGTGTTATAAGCATATCTTGATACATTTCCATCTTGACACTATATTTGCTAATTGATTTCTTTATGTTATTAATGTTCAATTCAAGCACAGAGAAGAATCAATACTTAACAACAAGCAATTCCTCCAAATCCCCATGTAAAATCAAAATCTATCCCTTAAGAATAATTAAGCTAGTGCACCAAGTACTTCATCAGCTTATCACAAAATGGTGTCACTAAGGGAGAGAAATCATCTTCAAGGAGCACTTCTCAGATCAAGAACATCAAAAAGCCTTATGATCATATTTCTCTAATGAAAGAAAGAAAATTATGTAACAAGAAAACTACCATTGATTCTTCAAAACTCTTCTAGCTTAAACCTAGTGAAGTTTTTGGATACATCATCATAACTTTTAAAATATTCATCCTTGGGAATAATTTTCATGTTGATATTAATTGATCCCAACTTACACAATAAGAATTTCATCCACTTTAAACCAACCCCTTCTTTCGTACTCCTTTTTTGGGGCTATGCACATCTACCTTAAAATAGTATGATTCATGCATGAAAGTCAAGAATATAGACCTTTGCTCAAACTTGAAGTCCGTATATAGCTAATCTAAAAATGTAAGAATTTAGGCTCAAATGTAATCCCATGCTTTAAGTTAGAACTATCTTGCTCTTGCAATTCATAAAGACCAAGAGTAAAATACCATGATAAAATCCTTTCCATAAATTAGGTCCTTTTGTGCATCCATAAATTGCTAGATATTGAATGACAAAAACAAGCCAAGTCGATGAATCTACTAAACCCTAATCATTACACCTACAAGTACATTTTCAAAGTTAAGTGTCTATATATGGTTGGCTATACATGAAGCACAATACTGAATTTTGAGATGATGAGTCCATCAAGACATGCATCTTTAAATATTGCAATTAGATTAGGGTAAGGAATTCAAAATGGATAGGAAGTAGTAGTAGTAGTACAAGTAGTATGCCTTATTGCTTTAGTTAAAGGTGATCTCCCTTAAATGTCTCCCCTATAAGAGAAAATAAAATTAAAACCAAAAGTTGTGTTTCTCATCAATAAAAAGCACAATTGATAAAGTACTTGTACAATGAATGTCTATCAGTTGGAAAGTTTAATTATAAATAATGATGCAACAAGAAAAAAACATCAAATTCAAAAGTAAGGAGAGAATCACCCCAAGCATTTTGATGTAAATCCTTGAAGTTTAATTAGGGGGAGCAAATGCACCCCTGGACTTAGAAAAAATTACAAGAAAGGTTTATATGTTCCAATATTTTTCACCCCTTAATCCAAATATTTTGCACCCCTTAATCCAACTTTAAATATGTTTAGATTTAGAAAAGTTTTAGTGCCCATTTGGTTCACTGAATCAAAGGGAATGTAATGGTAAGGAACAGAATGTAATGTAATGATGATTACATGAGTTTTTTGGGTATGCCATTAGGAATGGAGAAATAAATTTATTATTTTATATTTAATTAAATATAAATAAAAGTGAAATAACGAAAATGCCCTTAGAAAAAAAAACCATTTCTTCCTTCTCTGTGTAGCATCATTTGCTGACAACCATGTTCACTGTTGCCTTTCTTCCTTCCTCCTCCTCCTTCCTTATACCTGTAACATCTACAACCTTTTTTTTCCTCACCATCCTACCATAATCAATTTTGTTCATAGAAAAAGGAAATAGATTTGAAACAAGCTACATGAGCAGATATGTGGAAGACAGCAAGAAGACGAACAAGTGAGAGAACCATTGACTTGGGGGTGTGAATGATTGGAGAAGATAAGATCAACTGAAAATAAAAAAAAAACCCCCCAACCTTCCTCCTTTCCCATCATCTACGAACAAGATTGCAATATTAGCGAGGGCATCTGAGATTTGTGGGCAACAATGATGGTTAAAGAGGGAGACAATAGCAGCGGCAGATCAAAGATGGAGAAGGGCACTACTCTTTCTCGACAACAGTAAAGGTTAAAGAGAGAGATGACATAAGAACGCAACATCGAAGGAGGAGGAGGAAGTTGAGGATGGAGAAAAGGGAGTGATGTGGGTAAAGGGTAAATATGTCTATAAGTGGATTCAGGGTAACGGTAATCCCTATTACATAGGTTTTTGAGTGTAATGAGGATGCATGAGTTTAATGTAATCTGGATTATAGAGGTAATGGGGATGCAGGGATAAAAGAGCAACCAAACAACCTAAATCATTTAAATGAATGAGGATTACAAGGAGTCATAATTTAGAGAATCCAACCAAATAGGCCATTAGGCTCTCTTGAAATTAGGAATGATATTACCAGGTTTCATAACAACAGTAGAAAAAGCCTTTTCCATTGTGAAATTTGTGAAAAATCGGCTGCAAAATGTAAGGAAGATCTAATGATGAATAGTTGTCTAGTGACTTATATTAAAATGATATTTTCCTTGACATTGATAGTGAGATGACTACTTAATGATTCTAAAACATGAAGCCACGTAGGGTACAATATATTCTTTTTAAATTATTAAAATATTTTTAAGTTATTAATTTTTGAAATGTTGCATCCCATAACTCAAAATCCTGGCACCGCCACTGCCTTAGTGCGTGGATAAGTAAATTATGCATTGAATCAAATAAAGTATTTGAAACCTAGCAGTTAAGAGAACCAACAAAATCATCCAATAATATTCTATAGCACCATAATCCAAAGCATACAAACAATAAGAAGAGGTGAGAAGTATAATGGCCAATTAAACACCATGCAAGCAAAAACTAGCAATCAAAGTTAATAAATTTAAACTCAAGCTGTAAATCCATGAGCAAACTTGTAGTACATGAGCCACTATAACAAGTCATATAATTTCACTTAATACTTCAGAAAATATTTAGGCAGCATCATTTGCAAACAATGCAAGTGATCTTACTACTAATAGAGTAATGGACATAAAAAGTATATGGCATTTGGTAACATTGAAATCAAAGTTCAATAAAGAAAAAAAAAACTTTCAAAATGCAATTAGCTTCTTACTCCTTCCCATTGTAAAAAGCCAAAAACGCTAATAAGACGCGTTGGATTCAGGGGTCGATGAAGGATGATGATGAAATAAGGAGAGGAAAACAATAGTAGCAGCAAAGATGATGAAGGATGATGATGAAATAAGGAAAGGAAAATAATAATAATAGCAATAGGATAATGAAGGATGATGATTAGAGAAGAAGGAGCGACAATGATGAACGTAGTGGGGAGAAGTGATTTGATGAATGGATTTTAAGGTTCATTATTTAGTGTCGGCAGTGCACAATTGAGATAAGAATAAAAAAAGGTAGGGTGTGTGAGAATCTCCACTCATAATCTCCATCACCGGTGGAATCACAACGAGCTAGAATGATATGCTAGAAGAAATCTCATAAGTTTGGTGAGAATAATTTAATCATTTAACTCTTCAAACATTTTATATAAAGTTATTTTTAATCTTTTGATCATTCCATTTAATGTCACCACAAGACCTTAGTGCTTCCTCAAATTCCAAGGATTTATGGCCAATAAAAATCCTAATCAGGTCTTTTTGAACAATTTTCTCTAACTTTATTCAACATGTAGATCCTTACCATTTTTATTATTTTTGAATTATAGCCCTTATAATTCATTTTGTTTGAATTGAATCCTTATAATTTGATCCATTAGACTTGTTAATTTTAAAAGTTAAAATTTGTAAGTTTCTCTTTTTTAAAAAAATAAAATTAAACGCTTTTATATTTTTGTTAAAATATTATATAATTTTAGAATTAATTAAATAATTTTTACAACACAAAATTTATATGCTTAAGTTATGTAATCCAAATAATTTTTCTACACAGAATTTTCATAAAAAATTAAGAAAAAATTAACACTGAGTTAAGTCAATTTGTTTAGAAAAACATATTAGATCAAATTTTAAATAAACTTTAAAAGTATTTTTATTTTGAGAAAATTAATCTTTCAATAATAATTTTAACTCTCAAATAATAACATATTTAATAGATAAAATTATAATGACACAATTTAAATAAGATACACTACAAAGACTAATTTAAAATTGAGAAAAACTATAAATTAATCCAAAACAAAACTTAAAATTTTGATTTCACATTGTCAAGTTCCTTTCTGTTTTGGACTGAGGTGGGGTTCTTAGTTTTGCAAGCCCTTCTATACTTTGTATTGCTGTATTGAACTTCTACGTTCAGCTTTTAAACGCCATATTTTTTTCCTTCATTTTTAATAATTCAAATATTATAAGATGACAATTGAAAAATTATTATATTTATTGAAAAAGCCACTGCGGCTCTAATTCATTAAAAAAAAACTCAAAAGTTGCAATGTGATATGAGACCGTTGAAAGCATATTTTAATAGTTTGCGATGATGCCAAATTAATATCGTATTTGATGCGAAGGGGGAAAAAACTTATTCTTTTCGTTAAACATAGAAATATTATTAATTAACAAATACTACAAACAGAAAATAAGACACATTGCAATAGTTGCTACTGCTATGGTTTTTGTAGTTATCCGTCTAAAAAGCAATTAAATGAAGTTTTTAGTAAACGGATACCAACAGGAAAAGAACAAACAGAAAATATAAAAACTTGCTTAAAGAGAAAGTGGAGAGTTTGTTGCAAAGCCAGCAGTTGTAGCTGAAGCTTTTCATTCTTCCTTGCAGGACGAAAACACCAGGAATGAACCAAACTTGAGTGCCAACTGATCAAAGTTGTAACCACAAGATGATATAAAATCCGAGTAACTAAATAAGTTACACTATCTACTAGTAAGTCAAAACATAAACGAGCATGCAAAGTGAGATATAAAAATAAGTCATGTGCTCACAGCACAATATAATATCATATATAGGTATCACAAGTCACAATATGCATGATCTACAGTTCCAACTGAACTTCATTAACATCGGTCACTGAATCCATGGACCAATAATACGACTAGGTCACGTCTATATGACTAGACCAATTTGACCTCACCAAAGTGCGTGTAAATTTTGATCACAAAAAAAGAAAGTTTATGTAATTTTAGCAAAAGTAAGGTCACACTCTTCATGACTTTTCTCACTCAAGAGGGTAGGAACTAGAGCATTGAATCTATAACCTAATTACTCAACACTCCTCATTAATTAATCACGTCCTGTGGTGTTTTTTCATTAATATCTGTTAGTTCGTTATCACATTGTTTCCACTTATTTCAATTACCGTCCAGGCAATCAAAGGGACACCCCCCCAAAAAAAAAAAAACAAAGAAAAGAAACAAATATACGTATTAAGAGATCTAATTTATTTGGAAATAGCCAATTTTAGCATGACTTGGTGTAAATATATATATATATATATATATATATCTCTTTCCATAGGGACAAACAACTCTGCTTCTTTTAATTGAAAGTGTTAAGAAATCTTACCCGCTTGCCATCAGGGACCTCCTCTTTTTCAATCATCTCCCAAACTTTGATGCCTTTCTGTTCAAAGGGAAGCCTTACTTTATTTGTCTGCACAAGGACGATAAGATTGGAAGATACGCTCCTTCACAAAATTATAAATAATCTTCTACCCCCACTATAATAGAGAAAATATCACCCACAAAAGCGTTTTGTTCCTTTCAAGTTTAAAACTGGCCATAACATGACAAGAATTGTATGAGAAATTCACCTGCTGTCCTTCATTCTTCTCTATGGTAGGAACTACTTTTCTTGTTTCTGTGTCAAGATTTTGTGCTGGGTTCTTCAAAAAAATAAAAAAACAAAAGAAAAGAAAAGGATAACTAGCTTAATTCTTCAGTAATCCAGATGCAGATGAAACAAAATAATTAGGCATTCAAATGAAAAGGATAGTGAGTGCAATTTAACTCAAACCACACATTCAAATACTAAAACAAGTAAACAACCCTTGTTTTCCTGAAGCTGAAACACATTTTAGAATTACTTAAATATACTCATTTTAACCCAAGTATCTCGAATTTCAGGAGACATATAAGAAGCCTGTGTTCTCAGCACCGGTGCCTGTAATGCTTGGAATCTTTTAAAATAACAAGAGGCATAACAAGACAGCATTTTACAAACACCTCTTCTTGTTATGTTTTACAAGATATCAATAAATGCATAACAAGAATCACATGAAAAATTCACCTGCTGCATTTCACTCTTCTCTGTAATTGGAACTGCGTTTTTCGTTTCTGCATCAAGGTTTTGCTCTTTGTTCTACAGTACAAGGAAAGGATAAATTGCCTCAACTAATCAAGATTTACAAATTAAGTATGCAAATGGAGTGACAGTGGTGGCGAGCAAGTCTTAACTCAAACTACCCATTTATAGATTAAACCAGAATCATGCATATACAGACAAAAACTGGCTTTCCTGAAGCACTTTTAGGTGGGGTCTATGATGTTAAAGTTTTAGTATGCTAGTATCAAAATGATGTGAGGCATAGAAAGACACCATTTAAAATAATACCACTTTTAGCTGTGTTATCTTATAAAATAATTGAATATTAATATTATGATTTTCTTGAAAACTTTCTACTGTCATATCTAACACAAAAAATACTAAATGACAATGTACCAAACATCTAACTCTATGTTATAGCAGAGAAGACCTTTTAGCCTTTGTACTCCTATCCATCTATACACCTAATTTGTGTGTGTGTGTGTGTGGTTATTTATACCTTGCTAGCCATGAGTTTCTCTAAGGCTTCAGCTCCATTCTCTGTTATATATTTCTCAGCCAGCATTAGAAAGTCTTCTTTCTCCACAAAGACCCTCTTCCAGTTCCTGAATTTGCTTATGACTACATATAGATTGGTGCAGATGCACAACTGAATGAGCTGACTATATATAAGAGAAGCTCTTCCAAAGTCCGGTATCACAAGGAAAAGAACGATCATTAGCTTCATGTAATGCCAATACTGAAACCTGATGTTGAACATGAGAATGCAAAAGTAAGATTATAAACAATATTATTCTAATATCAGTTCACGCAATTTTAATCTCAGATGATGTGATAAAACCGGTAAAATATAGTCAAGGAAGACCCTCAACCTTTCTGTTTAGTTCTTTATTTTGGATTTACTTGAAAAAGCTTCACTTCAATTAAATTAACAATTGCTAGGGGATTGAACTTTGGGACCAAAAGAGCAAATAAATGCAATAAAGGACCAAATCATTTATAAATAATAAAATACCACTTAATGACCAAGATTTGAATTTCAAAGTTAATTTACTAAAATACCCTTACTAAGGTTTTTTTTTTCTCTCTCAAATATTTCATGTTAAATTTTGAAAGTTCAATTGCAAATCATTCTATAATTAGTTGTAAATTCAAGAAAATAAGCGTCAAATTCTTGCAACGTGATCAATGAATTTACAAAAAAATTTCAAATGATCCACATTAAATTTTGGAAGCTTATAAACAAATCATGCTTTAATAAAAAAGACGAGTAGTGTCAAGTCATAGAATGATTTGCAATTGAACTTCAAAATTTTAACATAAAACATTGAAAACTTTTTTTATTCATTCATTAAGTTGTAGGAATTTGGTACCATCTTTCTAAATTTACCACTAATCTTCCAACATTTAACACAGAACGTTGGGGAAAAAATCTTTAGCAAGGGCATCCAAGTAAATTACCTTAATCTGATATCATAATTAAAGCATTTCTAACTACACATGATTTGATACAACCAGTAAATTCTAACTAATTAAAGAAGAACCTCGACTGATAGAGAGTAAAGTGAAGCTTATTGTCAAATGGTGGAGTAAAATTGATTTACCATTGAAGAAGCTTGAGAAAAGCTTGAGAAAAGCATACTCAAAGAGGTATATCAGTGAGAGAAGTATCCAGTAAGAGATCAAATTCCGAGTGTCTGAATGGCTATCATTCTCAATTGCTTCAACGGAAGCACATCTTTGACCACATAACACCATCATCATAAACAATACAAACAGCATCACTCGTCACTGACATAATAATTCAGAGGAAATATACATATAATGCTTATCTTTATACTCATCATTAGCATATTCTGGGTATTTTTCTTACTAGCAAATTGTGGGTTTGACAGAGAGCGAGAGAGAGAGAGAGAGAGAGAGAGAGAGAGAGACTTACAGGGGATAACCCAAAGCAAGAACGGGCCTGCAAATGAGAACAACAGTAAGCAATAATAAAAAAGTGTGGGGTTAGAAAGACGATTAAATATTTAGAACATTGAACTGCAAAAGTGAGGACATATAAATTGGTAAAGATTTCAGATTAAGAAATCTGAGCGGAAGCAGAAAGTATAAATGCAGGCATATTGAATGATGCATACCATGAAAGAAAATCAATGCACTTAAGGAGGAGTTTAAGGGACAAGAAAGAAGCCATGTGTTATCGGAGCTATAGTCTTGTTTTAGGGTGACGAGGTTGAATCTGCAGAGGATTTTTTTTCCCCCCCAGAAATCTGCAGCGTACTCGATGAAGAATTGTGAAGAAGACTTCCTCAAGAAGTAAAAGGCAGACAGGGAAAAGATTCGAAAGGGACTTGGGAGAATGACAGAGACATTTAAAAGGATCCATTAATTTAAATTAAATATAAATATTTAATTTTAATAATTTATAATTTAATTTTTTTAATTTTATAATTTTACTGTAATGAATTTATAATTTTTATTTTAAATTTTAATAAAAAATAATTTTTTTATTTTTCAATCATATTAAAATTTAAAAAATTTGTAAATTTATTATAACATAATTGTAAAATTAAAAAATTGAGTTATAAATTTTTAAAATTTAACATTTGAAATTTAATTTGAATTAATTGATCCTTTTAAAATCTTTTTATTATTCTCCCAAAGGGACTTAGCATCTAGCCACTTATCACCCATTCACTTTCTCTCCATTTTCAAATCTATTTTTGAATTTATTTGTCATAAATTTCACATTTTAATAATAATTTTATGAATATTAAATCTTCATTATTTAAAAATAAATCCAAGAGTTAGGATGGAAAATGGGAAGGAAGTGAAGAGTGGAGAAATAGAAAGAAGCCAAAATTTAGTGGAAAGTAAGTAAGTTGTTCAAGTACAATAACTAATCATAGCTAGGAACAGGATAAACAAAGAACGGATAAAATAGGATTTCGACTTAACTCGCATTCTAGTATCTTTCATGGAAAGGACTAGTTAGGTAACTCATAACTTGATCATATCTAAGCTTAATCCGAAATTGAATAGAACTAGACTTGATCTATAAAATTAGAAAACTGGTCTCGATAATCTAATATTTCTCTTCTTTTTTTCTTTCGTTTCTTTAATGAAGAGAAACAATTTATTTTAACATGATAAATTTAATTAAGATAATAAAAATACTTATAATTATATGAAATTTTGTCACAAAGCATAAAAAATAATTATAATAAATCTATAACCATTTTCAATAACAACAAAAAGTATTCAATTATAATCCATAACAATATTTAGTAGCTTTTAACATGTCTAAAATACATTACAACAACAAATTGACAACAAACTTCAACTGATTTTCACACAATCATCACATTTAGCATCAACTACACTTGATGTATCTATAAAAAAAAAAATTATATACGCATATATAAAGAGGATGAAGAGAAGAGAAGTAGGAAATTAAAAAATGAGCTACGTCTAACAATTAGGTTTCAAGCTTTGCATTCAATTATATTAAAAAATAAAAATAATTATAATTAAATTTAAATAATTTTATAGAATTAGACCAAACCAAGTGATCTAAAAACTCAATCCCCTATTTTGTTCAACTTGAAGATGAAGTCTAATCTTATTAGTATTTTTATCCTTTAAGTCTCATATAAAAGTTTCATTTTAAGTCACTTTGCATGAAAAGGAGAATCATTATTTACTTCCTTTCAATTAAGGGCATTGTGTCAAATTTATTTAAGGAAAATATATATAGTTTGATCAAATCAAATATTGAAACATTTGAGATGCTTTTAAGTTGATTATAATTTGAGCCTACTGAAATCTTATGAGAGATTATGTAGATATGTGTAGATTTAAAAAGTTGTGTGAGTTTCAGTGGCTCCCTTCTTTTATAGGCATTAAGTGGCATTTTTTTTTTTCATGGTACATGCTTCGCTTTTTAAGGCTAATAGCTGCAGTTTTTTTCCATGTTTTTTCACTTTTGTCTCCTTATAAAAGTGATACATGCTTAATAGGGGTATTCAACCTCATATTTTTTCCAGTCATATTGGGATTGATCTTTTCCAACCTAAAAAAAAATTGGGATAACCGTCTCATCTCAAATATTATATATGTATATATATATATATATATATTATTTTTATTTTAAAAATATATATTAAATACATTAATTATATTAATATAATTGGACTAAAATACATAAAACTTTCATAAGCTTTGAAATAATTGCATATAAACCCCCTCACCTTTAAAATTTTAAAATTAATCTCATCAACCTTTAATTTAATTTTTTCAAATCCTCAAATCCCTATATAAAATTTAAATTATTTACATTTATATTAGTTTTATGCATTTTGTTTCTAATCAATAGTGCATAATTTTATTGTTTTAAATGATAAATTTTTATTTATATTTTCAAGTTAGATTAATGTAATTCACATGGCTAAAATATTTAAAATTTTAAATATTATCAAGTTAGATTAATATATCCTTTTATATAAGAAAATTATACACCATTGATAACAAAAAAATGAATAAAACTGATATAAAAGTAAATATTTAAAATTTTATATGATAATAATTATTTATTTCCTTTTTTTGCTATCAATGGCTTAACTATCCAAAAAATATAAGAAATTTTTTTGGGTACAACTATTCGATGTCCAAAGCTGACAGGACTAATCTAAATTTGAGCTCTATGGGCCCTAAATGGGGTAGCTCTCCCAAATATATTTTTTCCATTTCTATCATTAGTCATAGTTCTACAACATAATACTCCCCGCGTTTTAAATTATAAGACACTTTTAAAGAAAATTTAACGTTTCAAAATATAAGATATTTTGATGAAAATAAAGTTTCATTAATGATACTTTTTCAATATTATCCTTCTTATATATTCTTTCTCTTCAATATTCTTTCATGAATATAGTATTAAATGAAGTATATTTTTAAAAGTTTATATTTTTATTTTGAAAAAGTAAGATTGTAAAGTATATTTAATAAGCTTTATTGGAATGTGAGATTTTATCTAAAAATATCTTATAATTTGGGATAGAGTAAGTATTTTGTTTAATAACATTTTTTATTTAAATAAAATTTTAACCCTTACGAAAAAAGGCTTTGAAAAACAAAATTAAGATTATGGGGGTTAATTTTAAACATTTAAAGGTGAGAGGAATTACAAACAACTGCTTCAAAGTTTAAGGAAGTTTTATACATTTTAGTCATATAATTTATACTTACATTAATTATAATTTCGAACTAAAAACTTTTTATATTGATAATTTTAAGGAAAAACATAACTTTGGATCATTGCATTTTGCTCGAGTTTTGCTATAAATTTCTACACTTTTTATTCGTATTTTAGGTCTCTACACTTTTGTTTTTCAGTGTTTCAACTTCAAAAAATAAAAGTGTAGGAATCTAAAATATTGAAAAAAAGTGCAAGAACCTATAACAAAACTTGAGTAAAATACAATGACTCAAAGTTATATTTTCTTAATTTTAATGATACAGAGTAAGCAATACAAGACTACAAGGTAATCTCTTTCTTTATAATATATTAATTATATTAATATAATTTATTCTTATATATTTATATTTAATAATTTTTATTTACATCGTATTTCTTGCTTTATTTTGGCAAGAGTCATTAACTTAACACATCTCAACTAAAAAAAAGAACAATAAGTTGATTTGTGCCTAACTTATTTGTTGCTGTTGCTTTTACTGTTGTAGCCTTAATATTACTTGTAATTGCTATCATAATATATTATGTCTCATGCATACTTAACTTTAAATTTTACACTTACAGTTATGATTGATATAATTCAATAATTGATTTGAAATTATTATGGTTTTTGGAATTCCTAATGAGAAGGGATAACTTTCAAAATGTGACAAGACGGGAACCAAAATTTGATCCTAGTTATTTTTCAGGATGAGGCACAATACAATGGTGTTCTGGTTTTGGTCTCATTCTATGGACACTCCTAATGCTTGATCAAGTTTTTTATAACTTCCTTCCCTTTAGAAGACATTGATAGACTTATGACAAAATTATTATTATTTTTTTATAGTTCAAATAGTTGTGCTTGAGGCACAAATTATGTTTTTAACCCGAACAAAGGCACATTAAACTAATAGAAGATATATTTTCGTGGGAATAATTCAGCAACTCCAAACTTTTTGGAAAAATTAATTTTTTGATCCTTATACTTTTAGCAAATTTTGAAACAAGCCCATCTATTTTATTTCATTTTAAGTGGCTCCGTCTGTTTTCTGCGTTAAGGAGTGGAAGTTCATCCTTAAATCTGTCACAGCAAGGTGATAAGAACTAATGTGACATAATTTGATGAGAGGAAATATATTATAAAAGATATGATTTTGTCAAACAATAATCTAGCTACGATTTTTATAATTATAGTTAACTACAGATGATTGTTTAATTAATGATACGGGATTGTTTAATTACAAGTAAAAGTGTAAAAGACTAAAACTCAATTTTCGAACAATTGTAATCAAGATAGTCTTAACTAAATTTCCATTTTTAAAACCATTGCGGCTCAACCACAATTTTAAAGTTGTGTAGAACAAATAATTCCTCTAATATCAATTTTTAAAAAAAAAGTACGACATTTTAAATTTTTTAAACTATTTTAACTTCCAAATTTTTTTATTTTTAAATATTTTTTTTTCTAACTCCGAACCTGCTAGCATGCATGAAATAGTGAATGGACGAAGCACAGATTGAATATTATGTTTTAAAAAATAATTGAGCAATAAATATATATATTAAACGTCATATACATTGTAAATTGTGTTAATTTTCACAGAATATAGAATAATTTCGGAATGTAAAGAAAATTTAATCAGTTGATTATAATATCCCTTGGTTGATTAAGAATAATGTTTTCATGAACAAGAATTTGAATGTGAATGAGAATAAAATTGTGAATGAGTTTTATAAAATGAAATAATTGTATATCATAAGTCAGAAAAGTATAAACAAATTGAAATAATAATTCTTATATGGCAACCAAAAAAAATCTTATATCAAAATGATTTAATATATTTATTTTATTCTGCTTATAATTTAAAATATCTTATAATTTATTTTTTTTTTTTTAAAAAAAAAGACATGATGGATGTAACGTGCATTCATGTGAAAGGAATATCGATGCTTGGATGGAATAAAGATTGCTATGTGAAAGGAATAAATAATTTACTGGTGAGAATAAGATAATTTCTTATGAATAAAACTAGAAGGAGTATATCTCATATAATTATCTCCATAAAAATAATTTGAAGGAAAAAAAATTAAAATTAACATCATAAAAATATTTTAAAATTATCATTTGAAAATTGATAAGATCCCAAGTGTGTCAAAAAAGATTCAGACTAATATCAAGTAAAATTCTCCTTTGCTGGCATCACAAGAGAGAGTGCTCTTGAGCAAAATACCAAAGAATCTTGTATCTTACGTATATAACATTTGCTAGCCACTCATGATCAAGTGCCTGGAGGGTTAATGGCAGAGGCCCCCAAAAAAAATAAAAAAAATAAATCTTTCTGACAAAACATAAGAAATTTTGCAGTATCATAACTTTAACAATGTCCATGTACAGAACTCTATAGCCCCCATATAAATATGCTGGAAAAAGAAGAATTCTGAAGCAGATGACTCTTTTACTAGCTCGGATCACCAAGAATTTGGCTTTGAGCCAAGTGTTTCTTGCCCCGCAAGTGAGAAGCCAAGTCGACTTCACTTGTGCACTTTACATTACACGTGTAACATCTTAATCTGGAACTGTTCATTCCAACTGAAGTTCCAGTGTTCTTCTGACAATTCCACTCTTTCTGTACATTCTTGGACCTGGAACTCTGATGAGATGCTTTGTCTCCTGTGTCAGTTGCCGCCGCTTTTCCTCTGGTTTTCTTCGCTTTCAGTGCTTCGCAAGCAGCCCTATGCTGCTTTCCTTGCAGGTGGGAATTCAAATTTGCTTCGCAAGTAGTTCTAACCTGGCACATATCACAAGTCCACTTTTTCTGTACATCAGACACAGAACTCTGATCAGATACTCTGTTTCCTGAGTCAGTCGCCGCTGCCTTTCCTTCAGTTTTCTTCGCTTTCAGTGCTTCGCAAGCAGCCTTATGCTTCCATCCTTGCAGGTGGGAATTCAAATTAGCTTCAGAAGGCATTGTCAACTGACATATGGCACAAGTCCACTCTTTTTGTACATTCTCAAGTGCAGAAATCTGAGGATATGCTCCTCCTTCTGTGTCTGCCGCCATTTTTTGGGTTTTCACTGTGGAAGATGACGTACTTTCATTTGATTTGAGGCTGCACAAGGCTGTATTAGCCTGCAATGTTGAAAACTTGGCATAGAGGTGAAAATTAGGGAAGATAATGAACCTAAAAAGATAGAAAGTATACACATTTAGTCTATTTTTAGTACAGTCTTTAAAACTGAGTAATGGTTACTCATGCATGCAAGAGAAGGGGAATATATAACCAAGTAATCTTCCCAATCTAGAAATATAAGTGGAAAATAATAAAATTATGTAAACATTCCATTTGTTTTCAGAACCTCCGCAAATTCACTAAAAACAAAAAGTAAAGTATAAGGACCTCCCCTGAATTTTGCTACAATTATACAGACTTCATTTGATAGAGTACAATGACGTCTTGCAATCTATATAGCCGACCCCACCTAGTGGGATAAAAACTTGTTGTTGTTGTTGTTGTTGTATATAGACTTCATTTTTATTTTTAGAAGAGTTTGCTTACATTTGACAATAAATGGGAGACCTATCTAGTTCCAACAAAACTTGTGAGAGGTTTGTGTAAGTTTTAAAAATAGAACGGATATATGAGTAAAGTTACCAAAACTCATGAAAAGTTTGTAAGAGTTTTGAGAATTGATGGGAGGTTTATAAAATTTCAGCAAAACTACGGAATGTTTTTGTAACCTACCCAATAGTCAATCCATCAGTGTTCCATAGATAACAAATTTTAAGAATAAATTGAATCATATTCGTGTCAAACATTCTTTTTTGTACATGAAGAAGCAGAGCATTGAATCTAAAACACGTTGAAAATTGCTCTAACTCCTCAGCACGTAATCACAACTTGATTGGTTTCTTCCAATAATATTAATCATTGTTCATATCATTATCACTTGTTTTCCACTTTTTTATTCCCAACTCCTTTTCCAGCAAGCACAAAGAAGGAGGAAAACTGCCAGCAACTACAAGTATTGACAGACCTAAGCTATTTGCAAATAAGCAACTCCAGAATTACCTAGCATTGGGGAAAACTCTTTCTTTTACTTGAAAATGATAAGAAATCTTACTTGTTTGACTTCAGAAACTTCCTCTTCTTCAATCATCTCCAAATCTTTGATATCTTCCTGTTCCATGTGAAGCATCCCTATATTTGTCTGTGCAAAGGCAATTAAGTAGAAAAATAAGATCTTTCAGACAATTGTAAATGATCTCCTAGCACTACTAAAAGATGGGGAAGAAAAGCAACATTCTTGCTCTTCATTTATCAAACACTTCAACCCAGTAAAGGTTTCATATTTGTCATGTTTGAAACTGGCAATAAAAAGACAAGAATTACACAAGAAATTCATCTGTTGCATTTCATTCTTTCCAATGGTTGGAACTGTTCTTCTTGTTTCTGTATCAAGATTTTGTGCTGTGTTCATCAGTAGAAGAAAAGGTTAACTGGCTTAATTCTTCAGCAATCAAGATTCACATAAAATAAGTAGGCAACTTAGATGAAAGGAAATGAGTAAATTCAAATTCAACCCACACATCTACAGATTGGAATTGGTTTGCAACTTTTTCTTTCCTAAAACTCTTAAAAGAACTTGTTTTATATCCGAGATGCTCCAAGTCATCCACAATAACAAGAGGCATAAGAAGACACCATTGCAAACCACACTTTATTAATGTTCTATAAAATACCAATGAATGGATGACAAGAATGACATAAAAACTTCACCTTCAGGATTTCATTCTTCTCAGTAGTTGGAACTGCTTTTTTTGCTTCTGCATTAAGACTTTGCTCTGTGCTCTGCAGTAAAAGAAAATGATGATTGTCTTAATTCCTCAGTAGTCAAGACTCAAACCAAGTAGGCAACTTGAATAAGACTGGCGGTGAGTACTTTTGAACTCAACCATGCCAACTATGGATTAAAAACCAGCATGCATCCCTTTTATGAAGGCATTTGGTTCACTCATTTCAACTCAAGTATCTCAAATATTAGGTGGTATCTACGATGCCCATGCTTTGGTATACTGTTGTCCAAATTGAGTAACCTGAGTATCCAAAATATCAAGAGGCATAGGATAATCCCATTTCAATAACACCACTTTTAGCTTTGTCATCTTTCATAAAATAAAATACCAATTGTTCTATGCTTTCCATGAAAATCTTCAATAACAACTAGATGTGTATCCCATGCATTGCTGAGAGTTTGAGGAATGAGTCGTACTATACATAGCTAATAAATAGAATAGCTTGTTGGAGTCTTATATTTTACATTGATGTACCAAACCTCTCTTAACCCTAAGTAATAGCAGAGAAGACTTGTTTCATTTGTACTCCAATACACATACATATACCTGATGTGTGTGTGTGTGTGTGTGTGTGTGTGTGTGTGTGTGGTGATTTATACCTTGCTAGCAATGAGTTTCTCTAACGCTTCAGTTCCATTCTGTGTCATGTACTTCTCAGCCTGCATTATAAAGTCTTCTTTCTCGACAAATATCTTCTTCCAGTTGTTGAATCTGCTTATGATGACACATGAACGAATGAGGTGATTATAGACATAAGCAGCTTTTCCAAAGTCCGGCGTCATGAGGCAGACAACAATCATTAGCTTCATGTAATGCCAGTACTGAAACCTGATGTTGAAGATGAGGAAGGCAAATTGAAAGTAAGATTGGTTCAGAACCGTAATCTGATATCATAATTAAAGCATTTCTTACTACAGATGATATGATAAAACCAGTAAATTCTGATCAATTAAAGAAGATTATCAACTGATAGATAGAAAAGTGAAGCTTTTTGTCAAATGGTAGAGAGTAAAAATGATTTACCATTGAAGAAGCTGGAGAAAAGCATACTCAAAGAGGTATATCAGTGAGAGAAGTATCCAATAGGACATCAAATTCCGAGTGTCTGAATGGCTATCATTCTCAATTGCTTCAATGGAAGCACATCTTTCACCACATAACACCATCATCATAAACAACAAAAACAGCATCACTTATCACTGGCATGATAATTCAAAGGAAATATACAGATAATGCTCATCTTTATATTCATCAATTGGCATATTCTGGGTATTTTTCTTATTAGCAAATTGCAGGTTTGACAGAGAGAGAAACTTACAGGGGATAAGCCAAAGCAAGAACGGGCCTATAAATGAGAACAACAGAGAGTCAACAATCAAAAAGTGGGGGGTTAGAGAGACGATTAAGTATTTAAGAACATGGAACTGCAAAAGCGAGGATATATAAATGGGCAAAGAATACAGATTAAGAAGCAGAAAGTATATACCATAAATGCAGGCATATAGAAAGAGCATACCATGAAAGAAAATCAATGCATCTAAGGAGGAGTTTGAGGCACCAGAAAGAAGCCATATAGGATCGGAGCTACAATCTTGTTTGACGGTGACGAGGTCGAATCTGCAGAGGATTTAATGAAGAATTGTGAAGAAGACTTCGTCGAGAAGGAAAAGGCCGAGGGGGAAGAAGAGAAGTGTCGTCGTGTAGACTGTATAGTGGGTTAGTCATCTACTGTCTTTAGTCAAATCATCAACTGTCTTTATTCAAAGTCCGTAGCTTGCGATTGATTGGCCAACATTTTCCTTATTTTTCATTGGTTGATTTCAATTTTATTTTAAATTTGATTGGTCACAAATCTGTATGTTTAAATCCCCTTGCGTTCAAACCTAAAGAAACGTTGTGTTCACATTGCTTTCTTCTGTTTTTGGGCTATTTTTTCCAACTCCTTCTGTTATTTTCCCTAGGCACCGAATGGGTTATTAAATACTTCTTTATCTAATTCCTTTTAACAGACGTTCTATTCGGTTCACTATGCTTTCTCTTAGGCCCGTTTGGTATCCAAGGATTGAGAGTAAGGAAATGGAACCAGACATGGAATCCTGGCCAATGCTGGTTTGGTATGACATATTTAGGATTCTTAAGAATCTTAAATTCTACCAAAATTCTTGGAATCAGATTCCCTCCTCACTCCTAAGAATCGGATTCTTTTCCATGGAATCCCATTTTGCCCTCTCCAACACCTTCATCGTCACCATCGCCCTTCAACCTCCAGCTTTTGACAAACCATCACCGACAACACCACAAAAAGCTTCTCCAAGTTCGATCTTGTTAGTCGCTATAGTTTTGTTTCAATTTCTTTGTTCCGCCGCTACCTGGTTCTAATCTTCCTTGACCTTGGTTCTGATCTTCGCTGACGGCATCTCAGGGTCCTTTAGGTTTGAACTTCTCCACCTCTGTTCCAGCAAAAGGTTGAGCAGTCCATGGTGGTGACCGGTCTTCCACCGACCACTTGATTTGCTTAACTCCGCCACACCTCATGAGATTACGAATCGCTAGCTCCTCTTGATGAGTTTTTTTTCCCCTGGCTTTTTCTGTCTTGCTTGTGATGCTGCTATTGTTAGAGCCAAGGCTGAGACTTTATGGCAATCTTGCGGTCTGGTAACGCTTCGGGAAAGTGGGTCTCTCCACGTCCTTTTCCTCCATTTCCCTCCACTTTTTTCCATCTCCACCATTCATTAATTTTTTTCATTTAAAAAAATTATTTAATAAAAAATTTGAATGGTGGAGATGAGGGAAGTGGAGGGAAAGGGAAGAAAAGAAAAAGAGAGACCCTGGTCGGCTTCGGAGTAAGGCTTCATGAAGATGATCGGAGATGGTGGAGTTTTGATGACTCTTGCCAGCTTTATGCAGGGTTCCTTGAACAAGGGTCGAACAGATGGTGGAGTTAAAAAGAAAAAAGAAAAAGCACTTTTGCAATGAATATTTTTATGAGAGTTATTTTAAATCATTATAGATAAATATACATATTAAATAATAAATAATGCATGAATTTAGTATATCAAAAAATTTATAATTTAATTCTATTTTATTTTTATTCTTTTTTTAATTTAAATTTGTTAAAAAAATTTTAATTATATAAAAAAGAATTTTTTGTGTGTATTTAATTTTTTATTTATTAAAATTAATTTAGTAAAAATTCATTTGATAAAAATTAATTATTGTAAATACATTTATATTTAAATATATTTTTTAAAAGTCAGTTTAACAAATTAAAAATTAAATTTATATTTAAATATATTTTTAAAGTCCATTTAATAAATTAAAAATTATTTAAATTATATATAGTGAAATATCTATTTTAAATGTATAATTATAAAAAAAGATATTAATTTTTCTTTCTTATCCTTTTTATTATCTAAATGCTTCATCTTCAATTAAAATGTCTTATAAAAAATTCCCTTATAAATTCTATTTAATGAATTGGTTTATATGTGTAATTTTATAAAGAAAAAAAAAGAATGTTTTGTAAATTTAGATGGAGAGATTATTCCTTACCGTATTTCTCTATATTAGGTATAAATCAGTAATGTCCATATATAACAAAATAATTATTAATAATTTATTTTCCTTAATTTTAATAACCTTATCACTTAATAAGGAGAACTTAATGTAAAAAGAAATAACGGATGAGATGAAAAAAAAAAAACTCATTGACCCAGGGAAAAAAGAAAGGAAAATAAAAAAATAATTTTGCTCTAAAAGAAAAGTCCTCGAATGGAAGCAAAATAATTTGATACAAAAAAAATCCCCCCTTATTAGAATGGAAGCATCGTAAAAAAAACTGCTGCCAAATAATTTTGCTTGTGTAGTGCCGTGTAATTGAACAAAACAATCATCAAATCACATGCAAATAGGTCATTTTTCTGGAATGTTTCAAAGCAATTTGACAAAAGAAAATGTCAATGTGCTTTTGAAAAGCTTTGCTAAGTTACATTAACAAATTCACAATTTTAATTGCTTTTGAATGTACTTTTAGAAAGTCATTTTGGGAGAGTTTTAAAATAATCAAACAACATTTGACTTTTTAAATATAAAAAAAAAATTACTTCAAAAAGTTAAATGTGATGAATCTAAATGGACTCTTAATTGTTTAGAATTTAAAATATTGGTCTTCCATCCACAAGGGTGGAACCAGTAATTTAAATTTTTTATTTAATAAATATTATTAATTTAAGTAATTTAAAACTAATCATTAAATACTAATAAAAAATTTAATATTAAAACTTATATTAATTATATGCTGGCATGAATCAAATAAAAGATGGTGTTGATGTTTTCTTTTTATATAGTTCATTGTTAATGTTTTATATATATATATATATATATATATATTCTTATATATTGAGCGTGTGATGGTTCAAGGGGAGCGAGATGAGGAGAGGGGAGGATAATATTTTTATGTTATCTTATTTGCTTTTATTGAAAGGGAGAAGAGGTGAGAGGTTTTAATGATCATTTGTTTGGTTTAAGAGAAGAAGAAAGAAGAGGTAATGATTAAGTTATCATTATACTCTTATGCAAAAAGATTTAATTTTTTTTAACTTTTATCATACAAATTAATTTTATATATATAATTATTTTAAAAAAGGCATCTTATCAATTTTTTAAACTTTTTCTTACTTCTTATGCCAAGATAAGTGACACACAAACAATTATATACAAAAATTAACACCTTATATATGTTGGCCATTGAAAATAAATTCATTTTCTTATGTCAAAGAATCAATCATAAAAAGCTTTCAATAAGGAATATTATAAAACTTAGAATTAATAGAAAAATTTTAAATATATATATATATATATTATATGAGAGATATTAAAAAAATGAAAAGAAAGGGAGCAAAATCACCAGGGATGCAAATAGGAAAATAGGAGAAAGGAGAGAGAGTTTAAGAGAGAGGATAGTAGGAGATAATATAGTTCTGTTTTAGCATCCATTTAGAGAATTTTTGGCCTTTCAATCTCTTAAGTAAAATTCCATTCTCCCCTTCTCTTCTCCTTTTATGCATTTACTCAAGTTTTTTTAGGTTGTGAGTGAAACCTAAAATTCTAGATAAGTTATACCCAGTTTAATGAGGCTCAATGGAGTTTATAGGTGTTATTAAATAGTTTTAATCATGGATATGAATGGTTGGTAGCATTAAAAGCCATTAATAGGGGTTTAGATTTAACTTTAATGTTAAATAATTAAGTTTAAGCTAATCATGTTTGTTAGCAATGTGTTTAAGCTTAATGGGAGTTAAATCAACTTATATAAGTAAGTTTTGGGATTGATTATAATTAATATTGTTTAATGAGAGTGTTAACCCTTAATCATGATTAAAGGTTAATTAATTAATGATAATTATCAATCCTTGATTGTAGAGTATTGTTTCTGTAGCTTAAGTTGGTAAGAAGCTCTCTCAGAAATCCAAATTAAACTTTTGGGATGGTAGCTTGAAAGCGAAAGATAATTAAAAATTTAATTTTATATATAACCAGATATTAGCCCTGTGTGATGCATGGAGTCTAATGTTTTATTTGATTTGAAGACAATGAAAAAAAAGTAAGAGAAAGATTTTTATAACATTAAAAAATAAAATAAATAACAATATATTGCATTGTAATTGTTAAGGTTCTTTTGTGATTAAATAATGATCAAAGTTGACTCTTGTTATAATAATAAGAGTAAGATTTTATTGTTTCAAAAATTAAAATAAAATACTCCATAAAAGATGAGTTCATCTAATAATTTTTTCTTATATTTATATTTTTTATAATTTGATGTCCATATCAAGTAGAATATTTTATTTTCAAATTTATTATATATGCATATATAAAATTTAAAATTATATTTAAAACTCCAAAATTTATTATCTTATAAACCTTTTGGTTCTATTTCTAGAACATATTTTAAATAATTTTTAAAAGTAATATGAAATTCTTTGTATATCACACATGCACTTTTTTTATTGAGCCCTACAACTATATTTACAAAATAAATATTAACATCAAAAAATTATTTTAGTATTCTTAAAGTAAAAGTAGGAAGTGAGATGGTAGACAAATGGATTATAAAGGTAAATTAATAATTTAATTTTTTTTACCATAAATACAAATAAAAAATTAAATATTTTAGAATATTTAACATAATATTCCTATTCCTAATAGTGTTAAAAATGATAGTAAAGTATAGGTTTAAAAATAACAAAAATTATTTATAACTCTAATAAAACAAAAGGGATGCCAATATATTTTACTTTCTAATTTATTAATTTATGCAAATTAAAATATAAAGAATATTTTATTTTAAAATTTGTTATGTTCATACACATAAGAATATAAATAATAACTTATTCTATTTTAGAATGTCTAGTTTTGTGTAAATTAAATTTTAAGGAAAGACTTTTGTTTTGTTTCCCAAGTTATCCTTATAGTCGTTACATGTGAGATTAAAATTTTAATAGAAGGATACCACACCATCCCCGTATAAATATACATAAATTATTTTTGTCTAAACCATGTCATCCCCATGTAAATATGCCCTATGCAATGCGTGGGAATGTTTTAATTTTTAAGAATAAAAATAAATGTAAATATTAAAAATTATTTTAGTATCCTTAAAATAAAATATATTACTTTCC